GAATAAATACTGTACGAGTTAAAACTAAATGAGAAATAAGCTAATATCACTTGAACCACAGTACTCATTTTGCCCAACTTCCCACTTTTTAAACGATCGCTTAATTTCCGACCACACTGTATTTTCCGACCGGAAAACGACCACATTTTTACCGTGTTTTTTTTTCTCTCGCTTGCTTATTGAAAACACCTACCGCTTGCCCAAACACTGGTCACCGGCACAGGAGTAGTCAAAATGTTTGGGGATATACAACGTGTGTGAACTATTATAAATTCGAAACGGCTCTTCAAATCTATACCACTCTGTATCGTTCGCGAACAACTTCATCTGTGTCCAATACTAGAGCCGGTACAATATTGTAAACAAATGCCATGATATCTCAGTCATATCGCTATTGTATACACTACCTTTTTTATTCTGGTTTGCACAAACGTTGAATAGCCGTCAAAAATTCAAATATGTTTAGTTTTTAACTCTATAACTTTATGCACACAATTTGATCCTTTGACCTAGATTTGATTTGGATGGAATTTTTTATTTTAAACAATATTCTGACGTTACTTACTGCCCCAAAAATGTTTCAACACAATTGCGGTATGACTATTAATAACCATTCTCACCAATCGCTAGCTTAGGAGAGAGTAGGAAATCAAACAGCCGCAGGTCGCCCGCCTTTTATGCATAGATTTCATGACGCCGTCTGACTGCAGTCGGGTACGAAAAGCTCGCACAGCAATTCACACTTATTGTCAAGACAATGAATGAACAGAAAGGAATAGGAAATTAAAAAGATTATATTTCCACAAAGTTAAATGAATCTGGCTGCATCAAAGCTTGGAAACTAGTTATAATATTTTGCAAAAGACTGAGCGATCAACGACATCATTTTGGGACGCAATTGAACTTTAAGTACTTCATTGCATAACTTACTGCTTAGTCAAGTGTGTGTTGACCGAAGTTTGACTCCCAAGTCACGCACTGAACAGGCGTGTTACCTTAGCAATCTTTTTCTTTCATGCTCCGCGCGTCGATCTTGTAAAATTGTTATTAGTTCTGACGGCGCTGTACGCAAACTTGTATATTTTGAGGTCGTTTACTTAGTGCGCTGCTTTTTTAATTACGCAAATTTGTTTACAATGTTGTACCGACTCTAAAAATTTCAACATTGTAATATATCACTTTCATAATAATTACGCAAAGTCAGTTATTTAATATTGGACACAGGTTAAGTTTCGTCCGGAACGATACAATGTGGTATAGATTTGAAGAGTAGTTCGGAATTTAATAATAGTTAGTATCCGTTGTATCCCCAAACTGTATCACTCAAAACCACTATTTCGATCGCTCCTGTGCCAGTGACCAGTGTTTGGGCGACCGGTCGGTGTTTTCAATGAGTCGGTGAGAGAAAAATTACGATAAAAATGCGGTCGTTTTTGGGTCAGAAAATACAGTGCGGTCGGAAATTAAGCGATAAGAGGTCGATTAAAAGTGGGAAGTTGGGCGAAATGATTACTGTAGTTCAAGTGATATTAGCGTATTTCTAATTTAGTTTTCAACTCAAACAATATTTATTTACTCACTGTTTACTATAGCTAGAGCGCTGTACGTGTCTTCATTTTCAGGTTAGTTCTTCTGCTGATTTCTCGCAACCAACAACAGGATTTTTTTATTTGGGATTTCGAGAAACATAACATGAATCGTTATGGCATTCATAACACAACACCTCGCCATGTTTCAACTTTTAAGTCGTCAGTTAACAAGGTCTTTCATAGTAGCATTTCTATGGGATTGACGTACTAGCATGAATGGGTTGAATTATGAGTGTTCACTGATGTCATTTGACTGGCCCTTAAAGGCGAAATGACGCCAGGAAAAGCAGACGTTTGTCGTCTGCTTCACAGTCGTTTTATACCCGATATTTAGAGCATTTCGCAGCACATACAAGTTGTTTTTATTGACAGAATTCATTCATAGATCTCAAATTTCATGTACAGAGTGTCAAAAGCCACACCTCTGCTCCCCTTTAATAATCTGCTTCAAAAAAACTGAGATAAATTGTGTATCCTAAACAACAACAAATC